CCGGGGGGGCCCCGGGGGGGGGGGGGGGGGGGGGGGGGGGGGGGGCTGGGCGGGGCATCACCAGCTGGGCCTGGGCCACAGGCCCGTCCCCGGGCCTCCCCCATCTCACATTTCACGCCCATGTCACCACCTCACGCGTACGCGCACTCACACTCACAAACCCATGCCACCCTTCCCCCCCCAACGCGGCCCAGGCTCCATCTCTGGGGTCCCAGAGCCGGAAAGCTGCCACCAGCCGACAGATGACAGATGGTGACAAGTGCCCACCGCGGCTGGCTACGACAGCAGTTTATTAGGGCTCTCAGCCAGGGCCGGCACAGAGGCAGGGGGGTGGCACATGGCAAGAGGCAGGAAGGTGCAAAGCTCTGCGGTCCATCCACGCAGGCCAGGTGACAGCATCAACCTGCAAGACGAGAGGCTCCATAAGCTCCGGCGAGAAAGCCGAGGCTCAGGTGCAGCGACAATGGGCAGGGAGGAGGCCAGGGTGCCAGCAGTGGGTGAGGGGCCATGCGGGCCCCCAGGCCTGGGTCTGTCAAAGAGGTCACCCTCCTTGGGGGGCCGAGAGCTCTCCCTCGGGCAGGGCTGTCAGAGCAGGGGCCTCGCCTCCCTGCTCTGCTGGGCAGGAGGCTAGGTCATAAGGCAGCAGAGACTTGCCCTGGGGAGGGTGGGCCCTGATGACCAGAGTCTCCATTTCACAGATGGGAAAGTAGAGGTCCTACGGGGCGCGCCACCCCGAAGACCCTAAGCCTCAGGCTCACGCTGGACCCCCTTTCCCTCACCCCAATCCAGGGGTGAGTCCGGCAGGATCCCCTCTCCCAGCCACACCCCCACCTCGGCACACACCCTTCCGTCCCCCGTTTCTCCCCCCGCCAACACCTCTGTCCTCCGCAGCTCCCCGCGGCCTCCTCCAACAGCAGAGCTGCTCAGGGCACCGCTCTCCGGGTCAGAGCCCAGCCCCCGGGGACCCGGGGACCCTGGCTTGCCCGCCAGCCTGCTGGGCTCTGCTGTGGCTCTGGCCAGTCTCATCCCACCTCAAGGCGTTTGCACGCTGCTCCCTCGGCCTGGAAAGCTTTTCCCAGGGATACCAGCTGGCTCCTCAAATGGCACCCTCTTAACGAGGCCCCAGAGCACCCTGCTGAAAATTGCAACCAGCCTCACCCCAGGCCCGAGGTCAGGAACCTGGATCCCAGTTCTGTGCTCCCCACATCCGGGGCCCAGTGGGGTCTGTGATGGCTGCGATGAAGATGCCAGTGGGCCCCTGGCTCATCGGCAGAGGCCCTGAGGAAGCAGGATCCCCACCTGGGAGCCCCAGCAGGTGGAGGTGTGCTCCCTCCCCTTCCTCCCCGCAAGCACCCCTGCCCCCAGCCAGGGCCAAGGGCCCAGCAGCAAACCAGGACCCCAAGGAGAATCGGCCCCCCAGCTGCTCGTCTGTGGGTTCCCTCACCTGCTGGGGAAGCTTGCCCACGCCCTCCCCCCGGAGGGGATGCTGAGTCCCAGAGAGGGGCGGGCAGGCCCGCGGGGAGCAGCGATGGCTCCCCACGCCCCACCGGACGCGGGCCCGCGAGAGTGACCACCTGGCACCTTGCAGAGGCTGCACCTGCCTCAGCCCCACCCCAGAGAGGCCCTGCCTGTCCCTGGCGTGTCTCCTCTAAAGGCCTCACCTGCCATTCTTGTAACCCCATCCTTACCTCCACACCTGTCACCTCCTCCTGAGCAGGGGGGGGTAGGGGGGAACCTGTCCTGAGAGCCGGTGCAGGCCACGCCCTCTAAGCTCAGTCTCGTCCTTGGTGAGATGGGGCAACGGTCAGCTGGCACCCCCTCTCCACCCCAGCTGGCTTTGTGGCTCCAGGGAACTCTGTGCAACTCACAGCCCTTCCCGGAGGTCGGGGCACAGAGGCCTGGCTGGCAGGACGGGGAAGCCCCGGGCCTGCGCCCAGGGCCTGTGCCGACCCCACCCCAGCCCTCTGCAGGGGCACCTGCAGCTGCATGAATGGCCTCATGCAAGGTGGGGGTCTCAGAGGAGGGCAAGGGGGGGACTCCTCCAGAAGCAGCCCCCGCCCAGCACCCTGCCAGCACGGTCCCCGCCCCCCGCTCCTTCCTCTGCGGGCTGAGCCTCAGCCATATGGCACTTAAACAACCATTTAAACAAGGATGCTATGGAGAAGACCTCTGGACCCCAACAGACGGGCGGCAGCCGCTGGCAGGATTTGGAAGGCGCTGGGGGCGGGGAAGGCAAGGCCTAAAGGGTGAGCCGCAGGCACCGGCACCCGCCTGGGCTGGGGGTCCGAGGGGCCTCTAGGAAGGGCAGCAGCGGGGCCACCGTGTCTGGAGACAGGCTCTCAGGGCCTTGGGGCTGGAGAATGGCCGTCTTTCCAGGCTTCGCACAATCCTGCCCACCCTGCCCTGCTCCCACCCCACTAGTCAGGGTCCCCTGCACCCCCTTCTCTTTGCTAGGGAGCACCCCATGGTGCCCCTCCCCCGTGGCCTGCCTCCCACCCCGGTTTCTGTTTCTGCCCCACGCTGCCCACCAGCGCTCAGAGGTCCCTCACCCGGGGCCACCTCTTCCCATCACTCCCCTCCTCTGCAGACCCTCCCCGCCCTGGGCCCTGTGTCCACCCACGGCCCCCGTGTTCCCAGGACACAGCCCCGGCCGGGTGGCCCTGGGATCGACCCCTCGCCTCTCTCAGCTGCGCGCCCTGTGAGCCGCTAACTCCTCTGGCGGTTCCCACGCCTTTAAAGCAGGCAGGTGTCCGCACGGGCCCTTTCAAGTGGATGTTTATTCCCCTCTCTGGCGGCAAGGATGCCCCAGGCAGCCCTGTGCCACACGCTGGCCGCACCCCCAGACTCCCAGGCGGATGCAGCGGGCAGGGGGATGGTCAATGAACCCTCACAAAGAAAGTGCCCAAAGAACGGGCCTGGGCAGTCTGGCTGGGGTGGAGGACCTGGGAGGGCGTGGCCGCCCGTGACCTGTGGGGCCGCTGGCCGGGGCACTGGGAGTCGGACGGAGTGCCGCACGGGAGCTGGCCCCAGACAATCAATATCAACACCATGGTGGTGGGGACTTCGCTGGGCTCTGGGCCCGGGAAGAACAGGGGTGTCCTCCCCAGTGGCTGACCAGGGACAGGGACGGCCTCTCCGCCTGGCCAAGGGTGTGGAGCCTGGGCCCAGCACAGGCTGTGCTAGCCACAGGTGGGCCGTCTGGGGAAACCCCTCTTTGTGCCCACCCCCCGGGCCCTCCGTGCGGTGGGCACACGGCACTTCCCGTTCCTGCCCCAGCCCCACCTCCTCAGTCCCCCTGTCCTCGTGGTGGCTGCCACCACAGGGGCCATGTGGCCTCACACCCTACCACCCACACCATGACTGTGCTCAGCTCCAAACACACTCAGGGTCTCACTGACACTGGACTAATCTAGATCCATAACCCGCATTCACCACCTGCATTGACCCTGTCCTGCCCACCTTCCCTCCCTCACCATCAGCTTTATGCTGCAGACAAACACAATGTGCCTGCCCTGTGCTTTCTGACCTCTTACAAAGAGGGTCAGGGCTGGTCTATAGCCAGGACCAGCTTCAGAATCAGGCTTGTCACGTGACCAGGGCCAGGGCTCAGCGTGTGACCAAGGTCAGGGCTCAGCGTGTGACCAAGGTCAGGGCTCAGCGTGTGACCAGGGTCAGGGCTCAGCCTGTGACCAGGGTCGGGGCTCAGAGTGTGACCAGGGTCAGGGCTCAGCGTGTGACCAGGGTCAGGGCTCAGCGTGTGACCAGGGTCAGGGCTCAGCGTGTGACCAGGGTCAGGGCTCAGCGTGTGACCAGGGTCAGGGCTCAGCGTGTGACCAGGGTCAGGGCTCAGCGTGTGACCAGGGTCAGGGCTCAGCCTGTGACCAGGGTCGGGGCTCAGAGTGTGACCAGGGTCAGGGCTCAGCCTGTGACCAGGGTCAGGGCTCAGCGTGTGACCAGGGTCAGGGCTCAGCGTGTGACCAGGGTCAGGGCTCAGCCTGTGACCAGGCTGTGCTAGTGTCCACCCTGGACACCGCCTTTTGACTGTCTGGGGCTCTGACACCCCTGAGCTCCCTGGGTTTTGCGGTGACAGTGAGAGGCCTTCTTGGGGTGCAGGCACCACACAGAGACTGGGCTTGGCTCACCAGGGTCCTGAGGGGAGTGGTACCTATCCCTCAGGTCACTGTCAATGTCCCTCAGACACATCATTTTCTCATTCACTCACCACACCGCCAATGGCACTCCCACTCCCTTGGTGATGGGCAAACTCAGTTGCTAGGGGACCCAAGCCCAGACCCTGGGGCATCATCCTCCACTGATGGGCCGGATGGGCCCCCGTGGGCCCGCCGGCCGCCAGACAGGCCCCGGGGCTGGCACACTGACCATTGCCTCCTGGACCGAGGCTGCGTGTGGGTTAGTCCTGCCCTGGGAGGGGGGCTCTGGGGGCAGCAAGGGCTCGAGGGCCAGGCAGGGGAGCGCCCAGCACAGACACTGTCTGCGGGTTCTCCCTGGTGACACTTTCTGAATAGCTTATTAGAAATTAATATTTAATTCTCTTCTGTGGGTTTAGCTTAATTATTCAATTTATATTGCAATTACTGAGAAGCACCCAGAAGCAAAACTGCTTGCTTTGAGTAGGGAAACAGTCGGGGGGTGGGGGGGGGCAGGTTCTTGCCAAGCACAGCTGATGCTCAGAACTCCCGCTTGGTAGGCTTTGCCCTAGGGGCTCCCCCTGGCTTCCCCGAAGTCATGGTTCTACGTGAAGCCCTCTTTCCTCCTTCCAGGTGTCTGCCCTGCAAGTGGGGCCTGGAGTCCCATCTGAGGGGGGGTCCTTGAAGGCAGGACTGCTGCCAGCCCCCACTCCTGCCTCCAGTCTTCTCCTGGCAGTTCAGCACCTCAAGGGCCTGCCTCTGCCCCGGCTGCGAGCTGCTCAGAGCGGGGCTGGGTCTGACTTCCACCTGGGGCCGACCGGGAGGGGCTAGGGTGCTTACTGCATCAGACAGAGGCCTCACTGACCTCTGGGCTGCTGGGAGTGGTGACTGCATGTCCTGCCCGAGGTGACAGGGAGGACAAGGCACGGGCCTGCTGGCAAGGGGCCACTGGGTACCTCAGAGAGAAAAAGGCAGCTGTGCCTCGTCTCCATAAACGAGGGCAGGCTCATGGTAACAGTGATACCACTGTGATAGCAATGGCGGTGGTGAGAGGAGACAGCCCCGTCGCGGAGGGCAGGGCCCCTCTGGGCCAGGCGCCCGGCAGGCCTTCGTCACCGATGCCACAGGGACTCCAAGGGCAGCGCTGATGACCCCATTTCCGAGATGAGGCGGCCAAGGCTCAGGTCAGGGCCGTGACGAAGGCCACAGTCCCCCTCCACTCCTCCCTCTGCCTCCGGCCTGGCTCGCCTGTCTCTGCCCATCTGCCCGCTGACCTGGGGCTCTGGGAGGCGGGTGCTGGACCCCAGAGGGAGATTTCCATCTGTAAGACCCTAGGGAGCCACACGACCTTCAGGGAGCCTCCCGGCACCCCCGGCAGGCGTGCTTACAGGCTGGGGCAGGACAGGCAGGGCTGCCCAAAGTCACCAGATCCCAGGTGACCAGGCTCCCTTTGACAGGCTCAGCACAGAGCAGCCATCTAAGCCGCCTTCACGAGCACACCCCAGTGACGGCGCCACTGACCGCCCAGGCCACATCGACTGTGTGCAGACCCCACCCCATCAGACCTCAGGGTCACACAGACCCAAGCTGGAACCTGGCACCACAGTCCCTCCCTGTTACCTTGGGCGGCCGCTTAGCCTTCTTGGCAGCGTTCCCCTGGCAGTTCCAACCCCAGAAGTCTCACCCCTCTACATTTCCCCCTTCTGGGTAAGTCCCTTCATCTCTCTCCATGTCAGTTTTCTCATCTGGAAAATGGGGACACACCAGCACCTCCTTCATAGGGCCGTGGTGAGGATTAAGCGAGGTCCTCTGGTGTAAACTCCTACTGAGCGCTCGATGAATGCAATATACACGTATGGAGCACAGCCCTCTCCTGCCCCGCCCGGATGACACACTCGGGTCCTAATAGTGCAGCCCCTGGGGAGGGGGAGCGGGCAGCTCAAGAGGGGGTTCTGTCCCTCCCTCCTGACCTCACACATGTGCACACACAGGTAGACACAAAGACGCACACGCAGACACATACATGCAGATGCACACAGACACACACACACACACACACTCACAGCTGCAGATGCACACACACACACTCACAGCTGCAGATGCACACACACACACTCACAGCTGCAGATACACACACACACACACACAGCTGCAGATGCACACACACACACTCACAGCTGCAGATGCACACACACACTCACAGCTGCAGGTGCACACACACACTCACAGCTGCAGGTGCACACACACACACACTCACAGCTGCAGATGTACACACACACACACTCACAGCTGCAGATGCACACACACACACACACACTCACAGCTGCAGATGCACACATGCACAGAGAAGCCTGGAGGTGAAGATCCCACCACTTGCTTCCCAAGTGGAAATCAATGGCTTTGAGGTCAATAATTCACGACTTTCAGAAAACATTAAAAACTTGATTTGCTATGAGCCTCTATTGAGCCTCTTAAATTTTTGTGCCCGTGAAAAATGCTTCATTGATTGTTGCCCAGATACTGTAATTTTCTATTTGCTGAGGCCCAGCCTTGTGACTCTAGCAGGGAGCCACCGAGGACAGGCCCCACTTGCCCTGGGCACCCTGCTCCCTCCCCCACCCCCTCCCCATGTCCTGAACCACGCCCCGGGGACCCAGAGAGCTCACGTCCCACACAGACACACAGACAGGTCCATGGTGAATGAAGTTCCATGTGGAAAGAGGTCCTGAGCGCGCAGATGCTGCGATCGTGGGCGTCCAGGAGGACAGAGGAGTGGGGGGCCCCTCAGACCCCAAGGACTCACCTCCTTCCACAGGTTTCCACCAGCTCCTTCCCTGTAGGAGCCACAGCCGAGACCTGGGCGATCCTGCTGCTAGCCAGCTGCACCAGTGTACAGGTGACCCAGCTCACCTGCGGCCTGGCCCCGCTGCCCTCACACCCCTGAGGAATGGCAGCCGGGGACATGGCAGGACCCTGGGCAGTGCCGGGCACTCAGAGTCACCATAACTTCTTTCTGACGCCAGGAACCGAGTCCCCAAAAGCCGAGTCCGACCCCAAACCTTCACCTACAGGATGCGCACAAAGCGACCAGGCCTGGTGGCGCTTCTGGAGACAGCTGCCCTTTCCTAAATGGAAAGGGGGGGTCCCATAGCGCGGTCAGGAGTGGAGGCCAGGAGCTGGGCTTAATCAGGATGGGCAAGCTGGCTTCCGCTGTGTTCTCCCAGATGCTCACCAGGGCTGAGGAAGCCCAACCCTGACCACAGACTTGGTCTACACCCTGGTCACAGGCTGAGCCCCGACCCTGGTCCCACGCTGAGCCCCGGCCCTGGTCCCAGGTGAGCCTTCATGCTGGCTGCCCACTGAGTGCAGGGACTCCGGGTAAAGCGAGGCTGCTGGGTGCCACCCTCCCTCTCTCCGCTGAGCTCCCTGTACTGACCCGCCCCTCAGGCCCCTGTGAGCACCAGGCAGAAGTGGGCTTGCAAAGTCGGCAGCTGGGAAGAACTGAGCCCGGGCGGGCGGGGTCAGGGCCCTGAGAGCCCAGCAGGGGTGCTGGGGCGCGGCCTGGATAGTGCGGGTGGGGATGTGAGGTGGGGCTGCATCTCCCCTGGGAGCTACAGAAACAGGCACGTGCGAGGCTGTAGGCACAGGGAGCCTGAGCCCCTCCCTCAGGGACCGCTTTTCTCTGCAGAAATAACACCCCCCTGCATTTGAATACAGCCTTTTCCTTCCTCAAAGCGCTGTTTATATTTAGCCATTTTCCGCCTTTGTCCTCAGAGCAACTCGGCAGCAGGG